TTGGGCAACGTCCCTGGAAGACGACCCCTCCTGACACTCAGGGCCTTGACCCCAACTGGGGTCTCCGGCTTTGGGCCCCATCCCCCACCCCTCCTCCCGCCTCTCACGGGGGTCCCAGGGGTTGTGCTGGAACCAAGAGCAGACAACGGATTGCCAGGTTTGAGGCTGCCAGGAGCACAGACTGGGCGTCCCCTCATGAGGGGGCTTCTAAGAACAGACCCCAGCCTCCCAAGGGGAGGCCCAGTCAGGAGAACCCACCACACAGGATGGCAGGCGGCGGGAACACTTCCTCCACCTACAGCTCTGGAGGCAGAGGGTGGGTCGGGCTGGACCCCGGGGCACTCACTGTGCAGCTTCTCATCCACAATAGCCAAGCTCTTTTCAAAGGCAGCTCGAGCCTGCAGCAGGGCCTCCTGCGACTGGCTGTGGTCATAGACGTCCAGGTGGGTGCGGCCAATGGTGGCCCAAGCCCTCTGCACCTCAATGTGGTTGGACAGGGAACAGGCCAGCTCCAGGTAGTGCTGCTGGTACTGGGGCGCAAGGGACAGTGGCTGTGACCAACCCTTGCCTCAAGCAAACCCCACATGTCACTCAACTCCGGGGGGTCCCTATGCTTACACAGGAGAGCCCCCTACTCCCTGGAACACCCCTCCCCCCACAGCCCAACAAGCAAATGTCAGGCTGGGGGAGGAACGAGGCTGAAGGTTAGTTGGGTTCCTGCACCCCAGCAGCAAGGGCCAGGGCAGGCTCTGTGTGAACAGTGGATCCTGACCCTCGCCCCCCAGGTCACAAACACAGCTGAAGTGATGTGTTCATTAGTGGTTGTTTCTGGGGCCAAGCTCCCAGAAGAGATGATGGTGCAGCCACCAAGGACCAGGTGACCATCCACTGGCACAGGCCCGCCCAGTCGCAGTATGTCCCCCTCTAGCCAGAGGCTGGGACAGTAGGCTGTTCCTCTGTTCTCAGAAAGGGACCCCTGCCCAGCCAGCGTGGCTCAGTGGTTGAGCGTGGACCTATGAACTAGGAGGTCACGGTTCAATTCCTGGTTGGGGCACATGCCCTGTTTGTGGGCTCGATCCCCAGTGAGCGGCCAATCACTGATTCTCACCATTGATGTTTCTCTCTCTTCCTTTCCCTTCCTCTCTAAATCAATAAAAACACATAAAAAGAAAAGAAAGGGGACCCCCCCCCCCGCCAAGAGCAGGCCCGGGAGGACTGGGTCTGGCAAGCTTGGGTGCTGGGTGGGCACGCCCACCTGCAGGGCGGCCGAGTAGTCCTCCATCTCCGCCAGCCGCTCCCCGATCTTCCTGTGGGCCACGGCGCAGCCCAGGGCGTCCTCGGCGCTCTCCCGCAGCCGCAGCTCCTGCTGGTGCTCCTGCAGGGCCTCGGAGTAGCGGCCTGGGTGCAGGCGGACGGGCTTCAGCAGGCCGGGCGGTCGGCCGAGGGCTGTGCCCGACAAGGCTCCCCGCACCCGCCCCGGGTCCCCAGGCCCCCGAGCTCGCCGGGCCCCAGCCGTGGACACCACCCGGCCCCGCGCGAGACACGCACCATGGCTGGCCAGCAGCTCCCCGAGCTGGTGGCAGAGGGCGGCCTCCTCGCGCAGCTGCCCGCTGTTCTGAGCCCTGGCCTTGGCCTTGTTCAGCTCTGCAGAGAGAACGAGGCCGGGAGGCTGAGCCTCTCCGCCCGGGCCCGCCCCCGGCCCTCGCACTGGGGCGCTTGCCCCGGGAACTTACGGCGAAGCTCGCGGTCCAGGCTCATAGTCCGGACACCGCGCAGAGATCCAGCCGCCGGGAAGAATCCGGACTTCCCGCGCTCTCGCAGCCCGGTCCCTGGCCCTTGCGCAAGCCCAGCACCGCCCCCGCGCGGCGCAGAGCATCCCGGGAAGTGTAGTCCAGCCGCCCGAAGCATCCCGGGAGCTGTAGTCTGGCTGCTGCTGGGCGGGAAGAGCTGCGCGAGAGGGCGGCCTCCTGCCAGGACTCAGGGTCGTTTGGATGCGGAGGTTCCCCCGCTGCCGCCCGGGCCCCGCAGACGTCCCCCGACACACACACAGCAAACCAACCACAGGTGCGAATTTTCCTAAGGGGGCACTGTCCTCATGCAGGAGGTGATCTGTGATCGGCAGGCTGAGAATTTGTGCACATCCACGTGGTCCGACGAGCCCTGAATGTGGCTGCACTACCGACCCTTTTGGAGACTCAAACTCGGTGCTGCCGGGGGAGGGAGGTATTTCTCCGTTAGAGCTGCAGATCCAGGCTGTGCTGAGAGGCGGCAGGAGTGGCACTTGCCCCGCGCGGTGCTGGCTGCTCCGGCTTGGTGCATCCAGGCCCAGGCTAGGAGATTCCAGCACCTGCCACGCCTGGGGCTCAGTCCCTGCCCCATGCCATGCCCAGGGCACCGGGTGCCATGGCTGGCATCCCAAAGGCCCCAGAGGAGGCATGGAAGGAAGGAGTGGGAGATGGACGTGTTTATTATTCTAAAAAAGAACAGTTCATTGGTTTTTAGAGAGATGGAGAGAGAACCATCAATGTGGGAGGGAACATTGATCAGCTGCCTCCTGCATGGCCCCTACGGAGGATCAAGCCCGCAACCCCAGCATGTGCCCTGACCAGGAATCCAACTGGCAACCTCCTGGTGCACAGGATGACGCCCAACCAACCGACCCACACAGGCAGGGGTGCATGTTTCTTCTCTGTGGAAATCAGAAGACTCCCAGTGGGGTAAAGCCGCACCCAGTGGTGGACAACAAGGCCTGTTAAGGAGGGAGTGATGTGGAGGGCAGATGGGTCCTTGAGTCCAAGAAAGGCTACCCTGGGCCAGTGCCTAGGGCCTAGGCCATAGGGGTGGGGGCGAGGTCAAGCCTGAGGAGCTGCCAGAGGTGGGAGGTTAGACCTGGAGACCCTCCTCCTCTTCTGAAGGGTGCAGGGCTCCGCTGGGAACCCAGGCAGGCCTGGTTATGGGGGAGCAAGGCCAGGAAGGAGACTGGCTCAGCTGAATGGACAGAGCTGCTGGAAAGGTGTGGCCGGGCTCCCCCTGCAACACCAGCATTCTCAGGGCAGCCCAGGTCCTGGGGCCCGATTACCCTTCAGAGGACCCAACTGCTCCATGCCTCAGTTTCCCCACTGATCAGACAGGGATATGTGTATACAAGGTGGTGCTGGAGGCTTGAGGTGGGGAGGCCACAGGCCCTGGCTGGGAGACTAGCAGAGCCCAGGGAAGCCCATGAGGCGGTCTTCTCATAAAGAAACACAGACAAAACATGGGTTGGAATTTTTTTAAAACTATAGTTACATACAGAAAATATCCAAAGAGAACGCAGACCACAAAAGTGACATGGAAGTCATTTCCAACAGTGGTAAAAACACCTCTCACTCCACTCTTAAAAAGTTAGTTTTATTATCTTTGCAATGTCTCACTTTAGGTGAACTGAGAATGGAGTGTTCGCAGGGAGTGGGGTTGAGGAGCGGGCAGCTGGGTCTGCACTGCCCGGCTGCCCCCACAGCCGCAGAGGTGGCATTTCCACCTGCTCAGGTCAGGATGCCAACCAAGATGGCAGGGGGTCCTGGAGACAGACCACTGGTGTCTCTGTAAATCAGTGGCCCAGAGAGATGATGCCACAGGTTTGTGGCAACCCCATGGGAGCTGAAACTCACCAGGGTTCCTGGCTGCAAGGTGACATCACAGGGCTGGGAGGTGTTAGCAGTCCTCTTGGGCAACCCAGACATACCTGTACCTCCTACAGGGAGGGCCCTCTGGGCGCAGTCCCACTTCCTCACCCACCCTTGGCTGCAGGCAATGTGGGCTGTAAGCCCTCTCGTGTGGTGGACCCTTCTGCCACACACACAAGGCTGTTGGTCCCAGGCAGCCATATACCTTCCTTCACTTGCACAGAAACCTGCCCTCTCCCACCCTGCCCCCCGCCCCCAGGAGAGCCACTGGGGCTTCCCTCTGTTGACTCAATCTCACACAAACCACCCAGGTACAACTAACTGGGAAGCCCCATCCCAGCCTGGATGCCCTCACAGCACCATCACTTGGAAATCCAGAAACTAGAGAGGGTGTCGGTCCCTAAGAGAGGCCGAGATGCGGGGACATAGCACAATCTCCTACACACAGGACACCTGACATGCATCTACCTGAAAGTCTCCTTTTCGCCCACCAGGTGGGGGGCAGCCTGAGGACAGTGGGACTCACCCCAGGGTGTGTTCAAATTGAGATCGAAGGGGGTGGAGGGGCTGCAGTGGGGTCCTTTGTAGAGTACCTCCTGGTACCCTCAGTGACCAGGCCATCTGCAGGAGAGCGACCCCCCCAAAACCCCATGCCCTGGGCTTGGAGCAGGAAGCCAAATAGTTTCCTCAGAGTAGCTCGGGGAGCCAGCCTGGCAGGAGAACCGAGTTGAGGGCCAGGAGAGGGAGGAGCCTGAGAGAGGCCAAGCTGTGGCTGCACTGCCCACTGAGCCCTGTGGGGTCAGAGCAATAGGACTGCTCTGAGGCACAGGGTGGGCCTGACGGGGGCAAAGGAAACGGTTCTTTGGTATCGAAACAATGAAAAGCCGTGTCTCCTTAACAAAGGGGCGGGGGGGCTCTCCAGTAGCTACGAGGGTCCCAGCATCCTCCAGACAGGGCTGCTTTTACCCTGAGGCCCGCACACCGGGCATGCTCACGGGCCGGGCTGCAGGGTCGTGAGGCCTGTGTGTGTGTGTGTGTGTGTGTGTGTGTGTGTGCAGGGGCGGGGGCAGCAAAGTCAAGGCTAGGAAGGGACCGCCTCTCTCCGGTGAGAAACTACACTGCCCAGGCGCTGACCTCCACAGTGGGTCCCAGACACAGGACTAGCAACGGGTCCCGAGAGCTTGGGGCAGCTGGCTTACCTGACCCTCAACCAGCCAGGCTCTGCCATCACCAGTGGCTCCCAGAGCTTTCCTCACAGCCTCAGGGTGTTTCACCCTCAAAGCTGAATACAGAAAATAGATTCTCTCTTGCTAAATTTGCATAACTTACAGAGGAGCCTATAAAGAATTTCATTTATTTCCTGGGAAGAGACAGAATTTCACCCTGCATTCCGAAACATCCGCTGAGCCCAGGTGGCCAAGTCCTCCTCCCTGGAGTGGCTGGGGGGTGCGCTGAGGCTGCTATGAGACCCCTGCCCCTGTCCACTCCCCTGCTGAGGCCCATGGTGGAGGAAGCAGCATCTCCGTGTCTCCTAGGGGCACACTGAGGGATGAGTGGCTCTGACCCCCAGGCCCACTAGTTTCCCCACTGTCCAATCACAGCCACACCTTACCCTTGAACAAAACAGAAAGTAGGAAACAAGGTGCCTTTTTAATTGCAATCAGATATGCTGTCTGAAGCCAGCGCCCGAGCCCGGCCCAGGAGCTGTGTGCGGCCCAGGGCAGGTGGGGCGCTTCGCCGAGTGGCAGAGGCCGGCAAGTCTGCTGAGCTCGCCTTGCGGTGTCCCTGAACCAGCCTCCATGCCCTGGACAGGGAGGCAGGTGGAGGGCCAGGTGGTGAGCGCTCACACCTTCGCACACGCATGCAGACTTTCCCGTGTTCACGTCTGTTCCTCCTCTGCTGAAATGGTCAGACAGCACTGCAAAGCCGCAGCCAGGCAGGTGTGGGCAGCGCAGCGGCGCCTACTTCTGGATCTGGAAGAGGAAGAGCCGCAGGTTGATGTTTTTGGCGGCCAGCAGCTTGTTGCACTCCACGGAGTCCACGATGGGCAGTGGCACGTAGTCCGTCTCGTTGCTTTCATTGGTGAAGACAAAGTGGTAGATGACAGGGCTGATCTTCACGTCGTCATAGGGGCCCTTGAGCAGCAGGAAGGAGCACTCCAGGGGAGCTGTGACCTTGCTCTTGAGGAGCAGCTGGAAGGACAGCGTGCGCTTGCACGACAGGTTGGGGTTGCGCTCTGAGTCGTTCACTCGCGCCTTCAGGACCCACGTCTGGTTCAGCACCGTGAACCGCGGTGTCTCGTAGTATAGGCGCGTGATGAAGTCGTCCGTGCGGTACGGCCGGAACTGGACCTCTGTGGAGACAGACAGGCCGGACAGAGCCGGCAGTCAGGGTGGGCTGGGCTGGTAGCGGAGCCTTCCGACCAGCCGAGGACACAGGCTCAGCCAGGGAGGAAGGCAACTTACCAGGAGGGCACGGGTGCTCTACTTGTCACAAGGCAAATCAAAGGCAATTATGGCAAATGGAGGCACACACAAGCTTTGGGGAGAGAAGTGACACGCGTTAGCTGCAGGGAGTCCAGAGACAGTGAGGTGGGTGGCCAGCCCGCCCCCTGGCCTCCCTCCTGGCCCCCGCCCGCCCCCGGGCCATGGTAAGCAGACACACAGACAGGATGCAGTTCTGAGAACAGTGCACTTTATTGGTTCCATACAGAGCTGCCAGAAAGCCGGCAGGCAGGCCAGTGCGTGGCATCCGGCCAGAGTCGAGCGCTGGCATGCGGCCCACTGCTGTGCTCTACTGTCACAGTCCTCAGCACAGCACGTGCCCAAGGCCGGCTTGTCCCTCCAGAGGCGGCCAGTCCTTCCTGCGTGGATGGGCTCCCTGCCCTGCCACTGCCCAAGTCACGACGCCTTGGCCTGCCCAGACACCGAGGTCTGGCCTGGACTCTTGGTGCCGCGGCGCCCACCAGGGAGACTGAGGCTGCAACTAACCAGGCCCCAGGCCCTCAGCCTCTCGGCCTGTGCAGGCCCACACTGAGCCAGGCCCAGTCCAGGCAGCATGGTGTGACTGGCTGCCAGCGACCGCCCTTGGTGCTCTGAGCCAGCCGCCGGCATGGGCTGGGCAGTAGAGGCTGGAGTCTCCCTGAGCGGCCCCAGCATCAGCAGGTGCTTCTGGCTGTTCTGTGTCTAGACCAGGCTCTGGCCTGGCTCCTGTTCCCAGCACGTCCAAAGGCAGTGGCCAGGAGAGCCCAGGAGATCCAGTGGGCCCGGATGCGGTCCAGCCTGCCTGTCCCTGGTGTCCATTCCAGCTCTGCGTTTTGAGCTGGGCACCCTCAGCTTGTTCTGAAGCCCTGGCCCTGAGCATCTTCTTGTGGCCTTAGGAGCTCTGTGGCCACTGCAGCCTCACACCCACATGCAGGACCCAACATGACGAGAGTTCTTCTGGCCCCTGGCTCTGCGGGGCAGGCCACCAGTTCCTGGGCCCCCGAGACACCCCTGCCCATCCCCCACACAGCGAGGACACCACCTTGCTGAGGTGGCAGGGCCAGGGTGGGGATGACGAGTGGGAGGGGCCTGTGAGAGCCCTGCAGGTGCCTGAGGTCCTGCCTGGGCTCCTCCCTGCTCAGCCTCTGGTCCATCTTCTCCCCCAAGGTGTCCTCCACTCAACAGGAGCTTGTTCAGAGCCCAGCTGCCTGGCTTGGCCTGTGCCCCTGCCCAGAGCCCAGTGCTCCCAGGCTCCCAGCTGCCAGCCCCAGGCTCTGTGGCCAGCAGGGGTGGCGGACGCCTCACCTGTGTAGCCGATCTTCTCGAAGCTCAGCAGGCTAAAGATGCTGTTGTAGAGCTGCATCTCCTTGCGGTGGCTCTGGTCCATCTCGTCCAGGATCTCCATCAGCTCGTTGCCCGTCTTGGTGGGGTGGGCACAGGCAGCCTCGTGCACAGTCAGCTCATGGAAGGGGCCGTGCCACGGGCAGCCAATTCGCTTGTACTTGCACTGGGTCACCCTGTGGGGGAGGGGGCACCATGGTCAAGGCCTAAGCCTCAGGCCTCCACTCAGCTGCACACAAGCCGCTCCCCGAAGCACACACTCAGTGTGTCGCCACCCAGGAAGAGGCCAGAGTGTAAGCCGGAGAGAAGGAGCTGTGTGAGCACAAGCCACTCACACCCACTGCTGTGGGGTCTCTGTCCTGCTTGGAGATAGTGGCTGCCGACTACTATCCCGGACCTGGTCCAGCTTCACTCTGAGTGAGGCTTCTGTCCAGGCCCAGCTGCTGGGGACTGCGGAGTGGCCAGGACTGGGCTGGGGTGCCTCACACCGAGACCCCAGACCTCCTGAGCTGGCCACTCTCTCCTGGTCCCAGGGATGCCAAGGACAGCCTCTAAGAGGCCACCACACATCCAGAGCACCCTAGAGAACCAGGGTGATGTCCAGACAGTCACTGTGTACAGATCCAAGCCTCCCACCCTCCGTGGGGCCCCACACCCACCCACTGCAGGGTCTGCATCCTGAGCAGCTTCACGCTGGCCCAGCCCTGCAAGGGCAGAACGCGAGGCCCAGGCAACAAGGACCAGCCAGAGCATGCTGCACGCTGAGGCCTGGTCTGCCCCAGGCGGCCTGCAGCCAGGCGGTTACCTGTCTTGGCACTCCTCCTTCTGGTGCCTCTCCAGGAGAGAGCGGGGAAACTGGCGCAGGCAGAAGCCACACTCGGAGGGCAGCTCGCTCACGGCTTTCTCCACAGCCAGGTTGCGGCAGCAGAGGCTCTTACTGATCTCACAACGACAGTTGGGGCATGTGGCCTGCTCCTCCTTCAGCCGGGCATCTGCTAGTAGGTGGATAAAACAGCCAGCGCACATCAAGTGACCGTTAGTACACTGCGAAGAAGGAAAGGGAGATGAGCTCACAGACCTGTGGACTCGCGCACACATACACGCTGCCCGCCAGCTCCGCCAGGGCCAGGCCAGCCACCCTGAGGGGCTCGAGCCGTAGGAGGGGCTGCCATGAACAGAGGCAGGGGAGGGGCGCGCTGGTGCTCAGCACCCAAAGGAACACTGCTTAGTAGGGTCAGGCCTCTTCCCTAGAGCCCTGCTGAAACCGCCAGCCGGCTCTGTGAGCTGGTCTCCAGGGTGGCCCGCGGCAGCTTGCAGAGGTTCCGGCTCATCACCGAGGCAGGCCTGCTGGTGGGGAGCCTGGCAAGGGTGCTATGCCAGCAGCTGTTGAGGGGCAGCCGATGCTGCTCCGTGCCAAGGCAGGTGTGCCTCTCCCTGGCCTTCAGAAGGGCCACCTCATGCTGGGGCTGGGACCTGGTCCCTCCCCTCTGCCTCCTTGATGGGCAGGGTGAGCAGGCAGCTGCCACCCACCCAGTGACGGTGGCTACCTGCAGGTGCCTTCCCAAGACCTGGTGGCAAAAGCTGATGCAGGTGGGGAGGCCAAGTTAGCCTGGGACAAGGGCGCATGGCCAGTGCATGCCAGAGGGAGGTGGGAATGGGTGGGGAGAAAGGGTAGGGGGACATGTTGCTGCTGTGGGTAAGAGCCAGTCCCCCCACCCCACCGCTCCGTTTCTGAACCTGAAGATCTGAGGCCCAGAGATTGCCTACAGCAACCTGCCACCCCCACTGAGGCCCTGAGCCTGTGGACAGGAGGCTGCCAGCTCAGCTCCTCTCTCGGGTCTCTCACTAGTTCCACACACCTGAGCACCCACGTGGTGCCGAGACCAGGCACGGTGGACCATGGGCTGGGCCTCCACAGGCTCAGTGCAGGGGAAGGAGAGGCACACACAGGAGCCAAAGAGGTACAAGAATAAAGAGTTGAGCTGAGCCTGGCCAGGTTGGTCAATTGGTCAGAGCGTCGTCCTGATATACCAAGATTGCAGGTTCGATCTCCGGTCAGGGCACATACAATAATCAACCAATGAATGCACAAATAAGTGGAACAACAAATTGATGCTTCTCTCTCTCTCCCTAAAATCAATAAATAAAAAATTAAAAAATAAAAGACTTATGCTAAGTGTCCTCTTGGGGCAAACAGAATCCTGCCCACACAAGCATCACAGACGATCTGCACGCAAACCTCACTTTCTCAGTCAGTGTAAAATGGGGGGAGCTGGCTGGCTCAGTCTTGGGGGAGCAGATCTGGCAGGGGCTAGCCCGTCCCGCTCTGGACACACGGCTGGTCCCAGAAGCAGTCTGTCCTGCCCACCCACAGGGATCAGTGGAGAACCAGAGAAGTGGTGAGTGGGGGTCAGTGGGGGACACATGCCCCAGGCCCCTGCCACCTCCTGGGAGGCGCAGACCAAGGGCTCAGATCACACTCCTCTCGGCAAGGGCCTGAGCCAACAGAGCCCGGTGTTGCCGCAGCCTCGGGAAGAGCACTGTCCCTGCCCAGAGGACCGACTGACCACCTGGTAACGGGAGGAAACTTCAGGCCAAGCCCCAAAGCACCTGGTTCAGTAAGGCCAACTGGACACCAACATGGAGACACCCCTGGGCCCGGGCCCCGCGCCAGCCACTCTAGGTCTGGACGCCTCCTGCTGAGCAGCCACAGCTGGGGGCACCAAACCCACAAGGGCCACTCAGCCCCACGGGAGGTCCCCCTCACCAGGCCCAGCAGGGCCTTGGGCACCACATATCCCCCATGCTCCGCCAATGTCCTCCCCTCTTTGATCAAGGGGTTTGGGAGAGACCGAAGCGTCCCAGGCACCCAGCTGCTTGGGTGAAAGCCACACTTCAGCCTGAAGTCCTGGGCCAGTGGCTCCTGATGTCACGCCACCCTGAGAGCCAGGACTCAGGTGGGAACCTGTCACTCGGACTGAGTCAGGCTCATTGCTCAGAACTAAGTGCTGCCTGGACCACAAGGTAACGCACACGACCAACCACCACACAAACAGCTTCTCATCTGGCCCGTCCAGAACCCTCTCTGCCCTGGCTCTGGACACCTAAGCAGATACATTAAAACTCCTCTCTGCTACCTGTCTCACCGAAAAGCACGAGCCAGCCAGCCACAGCCCGAGAGCAGGGAGGAGGACCCCAGGCCTTGGAGGGCAAACCCACCTGGACTTACTTGGAACAGTGCCTACAGCCCCAGGCCTGCCCACAGCTGCTCCGAGGTGTGCCTGAGGCTCCCCAATGCCTGTGCCACACCCACGGGCCCTGCTTCCTGAGCCCTTTACCAATCAGGTAAAAGGCCCCGTGGGCCAGGGCCTGAGCTGAGTTTGGGCAGAGACAGGAGGCCTTAGGGAGAGGAGGCGCAGCAGGGCCTGTGCAGATGAGCAGGAGGGGCACCAGGTGGAAGGGGTCCAGGCGGAACAGGCCTGGGTCTGAGGCCAGGAGCTTAGGCACAGGGGTCAGAGGGCCAGTTGGGACCACCTCCCGGAAGCTCCTTCCCCTGATGAGGGTCACAGGAGCTTTTCTGGCTGAGCACCAGGGAGGAGAGAAAGAGCTACGCGGCCCCTCCCTCCAGACACTCCATGGCTCAGGGCCTCAGCTAATGTCAGGACGGGTGGAGGATGCACTGGGCCTCGTGTGAAGGGCAGGGGGAGAGCCTGGGAGGGAGGAAGGGAGGGAGGGAGGGATCAGGCCGTGGCTCCACAGAAGCTGTTTGTCCCAGAGAAGGTGCCCCTGGCAAAGGGGCTGGTCCCACGGCTGCGACCACACAGCTGCATCCAGAGCAGATACAGCCTAGAGCAGCCGTGGGCAAACTACGGCCCACGGGCCGGATCCGGCCCGTTTGAAATGAATAAAACTAAAAAAAAAAAAAAAAGACCATACCCTTTTATGTAATGATATTTACTTTGAATTTATATTAGTTCACACAAACACTCCATCCATGCTTTTGTTCCGGCCCTCCGGTCCAGTTTAAGAACCCATTGTGGCCCTCGAGTCAAAAAGTTTGCCCACCCCTGGCCTAGAGCTAAGGGTGCAGCCCTCCTGCCCCCACCCCAGGGGCCTACCCCAGTGCCCTGCCTGGGCTCTGGAAGGTGGCCACATACCTTGTCAGGCCAGTCACCAAGGACACATCTAACACCCACACAAAGAACATCAAAGCCAGCACCTGCTGTACCTGCTCTAGCCACAGCGAGACCCATTGGCCTCAGTGCTGCTCGTGGCCCAGTCCTCAGCAAGTCTCCCGACCCAGGCGTGTGACACCTGCCAGGAGAGCCGCCCTGCAGGGCTGAGGTTCAGACTTGAGAGCAGCTGATTGCCCATCACCCGCCCAAGGCGAGCCCTGACCACCACTAAGGCTTCCCTGGGGAGACGGAAGGGGGGTCTGGTGGCCAGAGAGCAAGCTCGCGGGGGACCAAGCACTCAGCTGACTCCAGGCCCATGGAGTTGTCCTCACAGCCAGTGCAGGAGCAGCACAGACACCAGCTGGGACAGCTCTCAGAGGCACGGTGTGGCTGCTGCCCACCCTGAGCCTGGTCTGGAAGGGGTCAGGAAAAAGTGGCCCAAACCAGCCCAACACTGCTCCTCAAAGAAGGCCCGCAGAAGGGGAAGGGCTGAGCCCAGGCCAACAGGTGGTGGCCAGCAGTGGGCATGACCAGGACATGCAGAAAGCTCTGGGCCCCAGGTCCTCCCAAGAACACTCAGCTTTGGTGCCAACCAGGTCTGTCGGGGCCTCTGCCCTCGCTGTCCCCATGGCCTCTGCCCTCGCTGTCCCCATCCAGGGTCACTGTGGGGGTGAAATGGGACACCACACAGCAGCAAGTCACCAAGAAACCTTCCCTCCTGCCCCCCGCTTTCGGGCCCCTCCCACTCCGGTTGCGGCCTGAGCCCTGCTGCGCACCCTCACCAGGCACCCCGTCTCCCGCAGCCAAAGTGAGTTCTGACCAGGATAGGGCTCCAGTCAGCCCTCACAGTGCCAAGGGCTCTCCCGCTGATCCCATGTGTTGGGGCTTTCTCCAGGCCTCGAGGCAAGATGGAAAGCACCCCAACCAGGCCCAGGTGTCACTGCGGGGGATCACCCCGAGGGGCCCAGCGTCGGGGCTCTCCCTGCTGCACAGACATTTCTCAGCGAAGCCATGAGTTACTACTCATGTCCAGGCCATGGGGAGGGCGCTGGTCAGTGCTGCCCCTGCACCCTCGTTCTCCATCACAGTCCTCAGCTCCCAGCACAGTGTGGGCCGGTTTGAACCAGCCAGGCTCAGAGGCCTGGTCACCAGCGGCTCCGGCCACAGGCAGAGCTCAGCTCTGTGCTAAGTGGACCAGGAGCTACTCACTGGAGGGGGGATGAGGCGGCCCTCAAATTTCCCTGGGCCCCGTACCATGGGCTTGGCTTCCTGGGCTGTCACTGGAGGCCCAAGGAAGTTCCCACCTGGGAGGACCCAAGGTCCTGGGCAAGGAAAAGGGGCAGGAGGACGAGTCTGAGGCGCACCCCCAGGCTGCGGGGTTATGCAAAGCTCCCCACTGGCACCAGGCCGAGGGCCTGCAGTGTCCCTACCAGAGCCTCTGGCCAGGAGGGAGGGTTGAGAACTGGACCCACGTCCTCTCTGGCAGGCCAGGGCCTCCTAAGCAACCACGCGGCAGGCACAGCAGAAAGGATGAGACCCCGAGGCTGGGAAAACGGTAAACCAGACTAGCCCCAAACTGCGTATCACAACGGCCCTCGCCCAGGCCCCCCGTCCGAGCAGAAGCCCAACTCCTGTGGTGCAGACAAGTGACAGGGAACCTGCTTCAATCCTCACAGGGGCGCAGGGGGCTGGGACGGACAGACAGGTGTGTGTGTGTGTGTGTGTGTGTGTGTGTGTGAGAGAGAGAGAGAGAGAGAGAGAGAGAGAGAGAGGGAGGAGGGCTTCAGGTGGAGAGAGACAAAGACAAAGCAGAGGGCAGGACCCTGTACACTAACTCTGGGTACCCTCCAGAACTGCCCTGACCCGGGTAAGAAGCCGGAACACAGCCGCCAGGAGGAGGGTGGACAGACCCCCTAGAGCGCGTAGCCTAGGAAACCGGTCCGGGTGAGGCAGGCAGGGCTGGGAGCAGGGCCGGGAGCAGGGCCGGGAGCAGGGCCGGGAGCAGGGCCGGGAGCAGGGCCGGGAGCAGGGCCGGGAGCAGGGCCGGGAGCAGGGCCGGGAGCAGGGCCGGGAGCAGGGCTGGGAGCAGACCCGGGCACAGCATGTTCAAGAGGCACCGGGTCGGACTAGGAAGGGACCCAGACTGGTGCTCGATGCAGGTGCTTCATTCAGACCCGAATGCGGGGAAGGAATGGGGGAGGCATCCCCTCTCTTCTCAGTATTTTTCCAGAAAAAAAGGAGGCCCACTCCGGAGGAAGAAGGGGTGCAGGAGGAGCCTGAGGGCAGGTTTGGGGAGGTGGCTGCTGAAAGAACAGAGGAGCTCCCGGGTCTAGGGAGCTCAGCAATGCGGGGAGCAAGCTCTGGAGGGGTGGGGTGGGCGCCCGCCACCCGCTCTCTCTGGGGTCAGCTTGAGGGGCGGGGGAGGCGGGGGGCAGCAGGGGAAGACACACCGCGGGGGACAAGGTCCAGGCCGGGAAACAAGGGGAGTCGGAACAAGAAAGAAGGGGGTTCGAGCAGGAAATAAAGTCCTGAGAGGAGAAGAGGAGGAGCTTCCAAACAGGCGCCGGAGTCCCGACCGCTGGGCCTGGCCTCGGAGGAGACGTGGTGCCCGGGGCGCCGGCCGGGCCGGGTCGGGGTCGGGCCAGCGGCCCTACCTGGTACACGGAGGCCTTGGGCAGGTCCAGGCAGACGGTGCAGCACA